TAAGTCAAAAAAACGTGTTCCTTGTAGTGATTGTGGGAAACCAACTGCTTCTGCTTGCGGACGATGCAAAATTCATATGAGAGGATATTATGTTACATCTTATTATCAAAGACTTCGTGAAAAAGCTTTATAGCAAAGCTCATGCCAAGACATAAAAATGTGATTAAGGCCTAGAACGTAGCTCATTTCTTCTGCACGAGCAGGTCTTATAGAGTTGAAATAGAATTTTTAGTTAAATTGATGTAGGCTCGAAGAGCCATTGCTTTGCAATAGAGCATAGCTCGTTTCTTTGAAATACCTAAAAATTTGTTACTTATTTTTAAGTGTTTTGACACTAGCTCCGCTATTATCTTTTTTACTATTTGTGTGCTAACTAAACAGATAACTATATTCTGCTTCTCCAGAACAGAAAACAATTTAGCAATCAAATTCGATAACTATGCTCCACTACGCTTCGCATCCGGAGTCGCTATACTCCTCCGTGACTGAAAACAATTTAACAATCAAATAAGTAGGCATTTATAAGAGTTATTAAGAATAAGTTAAAAGCTTGAAATTTATAGAATAGATTAGAGTTAACCAAATTACACCGCCTGTGTACCTAGGGTGAAACCCATTTCTTTGAAATAAAAATTTTATCCATATTTTTTAAAAACAGAAAACATTTTAACAATCAAATTCGATAACTATGCTCCGCTACGCTTCGCATCCGGAGTCGCTATGCTCCTCCGTGACAGAGAGCAATTTAGTAATCAAATATAATAACTATGCATATCTGTGTTAGAAAGCAATTTAGCATTCAAATTCGATAACTATGCTCCGCTACGCTTCGCATCCGGAGTCACTATGCTCCTCCGTGACAGAAAGCAATTTAGTAATCAAATAAGTGGACATATATTTTGGTTAAATTGGTGTAATTTTGGTTAAAAATTCGATTTATATATCTAAATATAAAAGTTATCGAGAATATGATAAAATCTTGAAATCTTTAGAAATAGATTAGAGTTAACCAAAATTACACTGCTCGTGTACCTAAAAAGCCCACTTATATATTACTGGCCATATATGTTATATGTTAAAATATGTTTTTTATTTAGCATATACAATTCATTATGTCAATTAATATATGAAATTTAACAACTATTAAAAGCAAAAATAATAATAAGGACTAGTAATTATTATTACATTTGGTGATACTGGCCTATTAAACAACCTTTCCAAAAGTTGAAATAAAGAAATTGGTTAATGAGTTTTAACCAATATTGTAAATAATATAAGTAATCTTTATTTATATTTATAATATTTTTTGATGAATTTTATTATTTTTAGACATTTTCTAAATGTTATACTCAATTTGAAGAAGACTGTAAAATTTTTTGGAATAGAGAAATATGTAAAATTCTTAGACATATGTGTGATAATGGAGGAGAAAGATCTGAACAATTTAGAAGAAATTAAAAACTAGTTATACTAATTATCCATGGACAATCTCTGAGAATGATAACATCTCACTATACCAGTTGCATAATTGATATTGTATATTATTGGATCAATTGTGATTGAAAGTGTATAATAGAATTTTGTAACACATTTCATAAGGATAAAAACATTGATTCAAAGATAATAAAATTTTCATGTTATATTGCACATGGACTATATATTTTTAAATTTTGTATTCTTAGCTTTCAACTTGAGCATTATTATTTGTATTGTTATGTTGTTGAAGAAATCATGAATAAAAAAAAATATTAAAAGCAACATGTTTCACATGTTCACATGTTTTAAATATATTTTAATATACTTATGTTTCATAGCAGATAAAAATAACATTAAATAACTAGTAAATTTTAGAGAGAAGAGAAAATAGAATTCTGTACTTTGAACAATCATTATTTAATTATTCTTATATTATATTATTCATATATTAATATTATTCTAAATTATTCTATATTATTCTATATTATTCTATATTATTTTATATTATTCTATATTGGTAAATAATTTCATAGTATATCAGACACACAAATGCAGGTTTTATCTTTCTTTTTTGTGATCTTTCTTCACTAACTTTTTTTTTGTTCTTTTGAAAAAGTGTCTTGTGGAAGATTTGTACATATGACACATAATTTTTGATATTAAGAGATAATTTTTTTATTTCTTTTAATTGATACAATGTGCTTCGATGGAATATTTTTTACGAGACTTATTGATCTTATTGATTTTATTGTTGTCCTAAATTTTCTCAAAATTATTATTATCTGTTATTATTATGCACGTGGTTAGATGTATCCACACAATAAAAGAAAAAGAAAAGAAAAAGAACACCAAAATAAAAATAAAAATAATTTCTATTCTTCATTTATCTTTCTTTAATATTATATTTTAATATACATAATGCATGCATAAGTATTATCCCGAATGTCATTATTGAAGGATATAAACATATATAAACATGAAATTATGTTTCAAAAATAAATTCAATTTAATTTTTAGTCGAATTTGGTCAATTCTCTAAACAATGTTTAAAATTTATTTAAAATAACCATGTAATGCATAAACGTAACATTATGTAATAAATGTAGTTTGATATTGTTCTATTCAGAAAATAATATCTAATATTAAAAACAATATAAAAACATAAAAAAAGAATTCTGAAACAACAAAAAAAAAATATTATTCCAGAGATTACAATATATACAGTAAATATAATTGATAATTGATAATATTTATTTATTTTGTTATTTTAATTTATTTTAAAATTTAGCGGGAAATATAGAAATAAAATATATCAAAAATAGATTGTAGATACAAATAACTTAATTTGGTAATAAATGTTAATAAGCGTTTAAAGGAAGCTGTCACAAAATATTATTAAATATAAACAATGTAATAAACATTTTTACATTTTTTACATTGTTATCATGGTCGACTAATTGAATAACTATGTAAAACTGCGTATAACTGTATAATTGAATATAAATATTTATAACTAGGTTTATAATTATGATCAAGTTTATTAACTATTTCTAACTAAGGTAACTATTTTATCTATATATGTTAATTATTTATTGGTAATTATTTTATATATCACTAACTATAACTAACTTATAGTTGATTATCATTAACTATAACTAACTTATAGTCAATTATCATTAATTATCATTAATTATCAGTAACTATTTATCTACCATTATCACTTTTGTTTTCTGTCGCTAACTATTTTTATTATATCAAAACATTCATTTTTGTAAAACTCCTTATTTCGTATCATACATATTATTATTGTTAATATTATTTATTATTATTATTATTATTATTATTATTTAGCTTAGTTGATAATATTGTTATTAAAGATGATCGAATCCTTGAATAAAACTTAAATCCTCCCCGGGTATAATGAATAATATGAATAATTGTCGTACGTGTGTAGTTAGTATGTTTTTTTAGTATGTGACACGCGATATGTATTATATGTGTATATTTGTATATGTGTGTCTGAAACCATTAAATTTCTCCAATTGAAATATTTTTATTTATATTATTTGAAGTGTGTGAACAATATGAATGTTAATATTATTAACGTTGCGAATCTGATCTCTTTGATGACATAATTTACACTTTTAATTGATAATGATATTATTCATTTTGACCACATTCATCCAACAAACATTCATTTTTCCAAAAAATATATATATATATATATTATTATTATTATTGTTACATTGATAACTTCATTTCTTAATTTACTTAATTTGTGTTTAAACCATTAAATTCGTCACTTTCCACTAATTTACTATTTTACAAGTTATCCGATTATATAGTTCAAAATGTAATAATACCTTTTTATTTTTAATATTTTTCGATTAAAATGTTAATAATATACGTCTATGTATCTATTGAAAAAATTTTTCTATAAATATAGTCATCGAGATTGTTCATTCCAAAAAAAATCAACAGCAACAAAATCAAATTTTTAAAAAAAAAATTATTAACAAGAAAAATTGATTTTTTCTTCACAATAAATATAATATATAAATATTAGAGCATTTACAGCATTTATATAATTGTAAATTTCTCTTTTACATAAAAAAAGAAACATATCGTTACTTCGTCACTTATCGATAATAAAAAAAATGACTACCACCACATTAACTCAAGAATCTTGTATTCCCGAATTAAATTCTCTTTGCCTTAATTCACCTACTCCACCTACTATCACTAATAACAATAACAACAATAATAATCTTCCTCCCATGATTCGAGGAATACCAATTAATTATGTTTTAGAAAAACTTCATGAATTAGGTTCAGCTTATTATAATGATAAATCCACTGCTTACGCTGAACTTCATATCGATGGTTGTTTAAAACCTTATTACGTTCATAAAGAATATCTCGTTCTTCAATCAACTTTCTTTTCGGAAGTTTTTAATAATGATGATATATCAAATGGTGATGTGATAACTATCTCTTTACCCGCTCCAAACATGTTTGATCCTATCTTGAAATATTTTTATGATGGAGATGCCGATAAATTTTATGATGCTTTAAATATTTTGAATTATAAACAAATTTGGGAAAATGTAGAATGTTTGGGTTTGGGTGCTGAACCGAGAGCTGTTTGTTTGGCTTATTATCAAAATGAAATTAATCATGAATAATTTTATTATTTAATGTTATTATATATATCATTTCTTTATTATTTATCTTTATTTATTAGTATTATTATATATCTTATTATATATCTTATTTATTTATCAAAATTTTAAATTTTATCTAAATTATATTACTTTCTTTTTTATTTTTCTTTGTATATTTTTCTAGAAATATTTTATATTATTTTTTTAAAGTTCAAATTTTGTTCATATAAGCATTTCTTTATTTTCTTTTTTTATTTATTTCGATCTCTTTTTCTTTTATTATTTTTATTTTTCTTCTTCGATCAAAAAAAAAAATGTAGACACACACCAAAAATTAAAATTATAAAATCTAAGACATTTGTTAACTATTATATATAATTATGTTTTTTTAAGTATTTTACCAACTGATTTTACCATAAGCAACAATTATTTATTTATTCAGTATGCATTATTATCTATATTATTATCTATATTTAAGTTGTGTTTTATGATATAAAAAAAAAGTTCATACATTTATATAATAAAAAATGTAACTTCACAAAAATGACAGAATATTGACTACTTAATTCTATTATGATTTAACAATATCTTAAATTAAAAGAATATTAGTTTTAATAATAAATAATAATAAATTACGTTTATTCTGACCTGTTGTCTCTTCTTAATATTTTCTTGGATCTACAAGACAATTAAATATGCGCCGTCGAATTCATTTGTTTTTTTCTTTCTATTGTTACTCGTGTGAGAAAACGTTCCGATATTTAATTAAAAATCTATTTTTTGTAACGAGCGAATTATCTGTTTCGAAATATTAATTGAATCAATTACAAAATTAATTCGTATTATGTAAATGTAAAGTTATAGACAATTTATGATCTCTTTTTTTACGTTGTTTTCTACTTGATAAAAAAGTTTAGTTGTTTTGAATACGTCACTTTGGCTTGAGGCGTATTTTCACGTGTAATGGAATACAAATATTTATGATGATCACAAATAAATGAGATGATATACATTAATAATAATAATAATTTAAAAAAGATAAATAAGATAAATAACATTTTCTAAATAGTTTTATAAAGAATGAAAAATAATTTATATTCTTAATAAAATAAATAAATAAAAATTCTAAATGGCAAAAATATATATATATTCCTTTAAAGAATCATTATAGTTTGGAAGGAACGCGACCTTCCTTTACTTGTGCATACTCAAATAATTGTTTCATTTCATTTGCTGCTTCATTAAGATAATGCCGCATATGATGATTATTCAAATGCATCGATACTATGTTAAAATGTAAACTATTTGCATTAACTTGGTATGCAATACCATATCCATCTGGCACCACTTCTCCCCATCCATATCCATCAAAGTATTCTGATGAAAGTTGAGATGTTGACAAATTCCAATGTGAAGATCGTGAAAATGCTATATCATTAAAGATTTCTGGTTTTTCCTCACCCGATTTCAAAGACATACGAAGACCTTTAATTGTTTATAAATAAATTAAAATAAATCAAAACCTTGCATTCTATATTATTTAGATTATTTCGAATTAACAAAGCTTACCAAGCAAGTGTCGATCACAACCACGTCCGTCAACAGCGTCGGACATATATTTTACGTGAGAAGCAATTGCCTTACGACCTAACTCGATTTTAGTCTCGAACTTTAAAAAAAGTATTTAGTTAATAAAAATTAATAAAAATTAATGAAAAAGTAAATATCATGATATATAAAACAATCAATCAAAGACTACGATATTGAAATGCTTACTGTGGCATTAGGATCTTCCATGGATTTGACCCACGCTACTGAATCAACAGAAACAGTTCGACATACTTCAGTTCTGCCGTGAGCAAATTTTCTGGTCTGAGCACTTTCATAAGTAGATCTACTAACTCCGTACATTTTATAATATGCTAATTGAATGATCATTTGTACGTACGCATCCGGTGAAAATCCTAACTTTTTGATACCATTTTTGCCATATCCTTGATATACTAATACGCGAAGATCATGCTTAGAAACAAGGGAATCAAAATTTTTTTCAGCACTTGCAATTGCTTTAAGAGCATCATTGTTCAAAATAAAATTAAGTTGTTCTGGTTGAGGAAGTTTAAAACGAATGTTTGGTTCACCGTGATCAATTTTATTTCTGGCAATCACATCACAAATAAAATCATTCAATCGATGTGTCGGCATTCCATCCATAGAAGAATGCTATTATAAAAATAAAAAAAATAAAATAAAATTTTTACATTTATAAAATGTCCATGTAATTAAAGAAATTTGAATATTTTCAAATAAAAGAATAACCTCTCCACAGAATCCGGCTTTCCCATTCTCAAAAACAATAAATTGTAAAGGTTTGTCAAAGAATCGATTGCGACCATCACCAACCCAACAAGAATGGCTTATTTCTTCATGTGTGATAGGTGAGGTGTCGTCTAGACAGACAACGAAAGCAGAACTTTCTATCTTCCTAAGTAATTGCTCATTTTTAGGATTAACCGATAATAATAAATTTCGATACTAATATTCAAAAATAGAAATTTTCATGTTTAATAATAATTTAATAATCACTCTATTTGATATGTGAGAAAGAGTTAAGAATACGAACGTCTGTCCAGTTGTCTCTATTTTCAGAGGTGAGTGCTCCAACTGGAGGATCTTTAGTATCACCAGCCATCTCATAAATTTTTTTGAATAAACTAAAAGACATTAATATATTGTTTATTTATTAATTATGATGAAACGAATAGTACAGCTTTAATATATTAGATAAATAACAAATTAAAGAATTTTCTACCTTTCTATTTCGACAGTAGACAATTGTTTTCCATCCTTTACTAAGTCTACAATGAAAAACTTGTTTTTTCGGATGACGGTCATATGGTTATTTGTTGCTGGATCAAATTTTGATTCATAATCAGATGGTTTTGCCGGGAAACGACAAGCATTAAACATCCATTTATTGGAATCCATGCAAAGAGGAAGGTTTTTCATATAATCTGGTTCTAATTGTTGTCTTTATAAAGATACAATTTAATGTTAAATACATATAAAAAGAAGAAAAAAAATATATATATTATAAATAATTACTCTTCTACAAGTTTCCGATATACCAAAGCAGCCGTTACAATTGAAGCAGCTCGAGTAGCAGGATTTTTTCGAAGTTTGTCGTCTTTGTAAGCATAGAAATAGCTCACATATACACAAACGGGATCCCTATAACCAAAATATGCTAGTTCATTCCACCAATCTTCAAGCCAATTAATCACTTTAGGATTATTAGCTTTATTCAATAGACGATCTTGTAATTCCTCGCCAATCCCTCCAGGTTTCAGAAAATCTTCAACGGCTTTTTTTGTATTTTCAAATTCTTCTTCATTCACCAGAGGTTTAACTGACATTAAGTATTTCTCGAATGTCTCGGAAAGTGAAGGCACAGGAAGTTTTGGAAGAAATTTTTGATAACGATACATGGGTCCAACAGAAGTATCAACGGGATATGGGACAACCGGTGATTTTGAAACCGGAGCAGCAAGACTGTAATTTCTACGTGTCATATCGTTTAAGAACTAACAAAAAAAGAAATATTATTAACAAAATGACTTTTTGAAATCTTTAGTTTATACATAAAAGAAAATTTATTATTATTAGCAAACTGTTCATTCGGCTAACCTGGTTTTTCGGTTGTTTAAAACTTCGAAATACCGAATGTGCTAAAGATAATTTATTAAATTTGTTCATTAAAAATCTAATTTCTAAGTCAAGATTATTATTATCTGATTAAGGAAAGGTTTGATATATCTAATCCATAAAATGAAGATTTTAATCTAAAAAAATCAATAATGCAGAAAGATCATGTATTAATTGATTTGTTGTGTTGGGAAAATAAATTTGGCAGTAAAAAAGGGTGATCTAAAAGATATTATCATCTGAATAATTTGAATAATAAAGAGCTTAAAATTCTAAATAGACAATAAATAAATTATTTTTTCTTACAGTGGTGGACTTTTTTTTTTTATCATTATTAGAGAAAGCTTTTTAAAAGTTGTTTAATGCAATCTGCAAAGCAAATCCCCCAAAAAATTAAACTGTGACAAATGCCTTCAATTAAGTAAAGATTTCTGTAATTCAAAAACTCTAGACCTAATAGCAATTTCTTGACATATACAGTACAGTTAGAGAAAATCAATTGTCTAGAAGTTATCAAAATGGTCTTTGAAGAATGGTTGGCTCAATTAATATTAGGCCTGGTTCAATTATTATACTCTGGCTAATTGATTTTCTCCTAGCTCAATTATGATTGGCTGGCGCAACCCTAATCACGTGAAAAGATCATTATTATAATTGAATAATTATTTAAATTATCAATATTACAAAAATGAAATATATATCATTGTGTAGCTAAAAACTAGAACTTTCAATTGGTTATAGAAATATTTTAATAGAAAATTGATTTGAACTAAAAAATAAAAATAAATTATTCTTAAATATTAAGATTTTTACAAATATTAATATTAGAAAAATAATTTAATTATTATTTTGAAGCTTATAATAAGAGCTTTTAAATGATTTTAAAATTTATATTTAATAACAATTATTTAATAAATTTTATAATTATATTAACCAATTAGAATTACATTATTATTTAACATTTACATTAGAATTTAATCTTTGTATTAGAATTTAACCATTGTACCAAATTGCATCAAGACTAATTCTAGAGCTCAATTGATTAAATTAAATTTAACTAAATTCCTGGCTCAATTCATATTGTGCTTACCATCTTTAATTTCAATAGAATCTACTTGATATTAAAGTTAATAATTAAAATAATCAAAAGAATAGATATCAAATATATTATTTTTCAAAAAAAAAATTTTGAATATATAAATTATTTAAATATTCAAATTTTGGAAGCAATATAATAATATCTCAAATGTTTCTTTTTTTTAAAGATAGAAATTGAGATAAAAGAATTACAATATTTTAATATATATATATATTTTAAAAAAAAAAAAAAAAGTTTATTACTATTTTCGATCTTATAAAAATTACAATATTTAAAATATACTTAAAATATATTTAAAAAATACTTAATTTAGATAATGAGTAAGTACATTAGGAAATTTTTTTGAATATAATATTCTGTAATTTTAACATAGTGATAAATTTCCGTAATTTTTTATATAATATTATAAAAATTTATGAAAATTTTCGAAAGTTATTAAAATATTAAAATTCTGTAATATTATATTCAAAAAATTACAGAAATTTAATACTGTATTAAAATTTCATAATATTATGTTTAAAAAATTACAAAAATTTAATATTATATTAAAATTACAGAATATTATGTGATGTTAATCTTGGTTTACCTTTTAAAAAAACTAAAGAAAACTAAGTGACTGGTAGTGGAAATTGTATTTATAGACTTTAAATACTATAACAATTAACTACAGCCAGACGGGTATTACTTTTAATAAAGTAATGATAAGAAAGATTTGAATAAGGCAAATTTGATTGAAAGAGGTTAAAGTGTGAGGTTTTATAAGGGTTTTACTAGTTAAGTCACAAAGACAACAAAGTTTCATCAAGAAACTCAACAAATTCACATAGAACTTAATAACTTAACCTAGATTACAAAGCAGAGTTAATTATTAAGTAACTATAATACTGAGATCACGAAGTAGGTATTACAATTAACAATTACTCTTATTATCAAGAAGAGAGTAATAATAATAGAATTATCAAGATTACAAAGCAGGACAAATAACAAGAGGGTTTTCACTAAGAAAGTCACAATATAAACTATATAATTTACCAAGAAAGATATCAGTTTATAAGCAATGTTTTATTTCGAGTTATTAGAATATTTAATTCTATATCAACTGTTCCTTTAAGAGGAGTAGAAACAACTTCTATTTATATGAAATTTGGACCATATCGTGAACTATAATTATTAATTTCAAGAAAACTTCAGAAGTTTCTGTAACATTCCAACATGATTATTAATACTGGAGGTAATTTACCTAGGTATTTTACCGGTAGATACTAGAGGTATTTTACCTCGTATCGTGTAATGTTACATATCTGAGATATTTTACCAGTAGATATTAGAGGTATTTTATCTCGCATCACGTAATGTTACATATCTGAGGTATTTTACCTCTGTTATGTAAATACTAATAAGGTTGATACAAGAATATAAATATATTATACGAAAAATAAATAAGATAATACATATATAAAATATCAATATAATAATAAAATAATAATAATAAAATAATAATAATAAAATATATTATAATAAAATATGTATAAATATAAAAATAAAGAAATAGGGTCAACAACGTATAAACCCTTGTATTGTGATTATTTTATCTTGAGATTAGTAATTCTTATAATTTTTATATAGTTTTGTTTATTAGTTTTAGTATTATTTTATCCCATTGTCTTTGTAAATTGTAGAAGGTTTATATGAATAACACTAGCTATTTCCATGATCCCTTTTTTGAGAACATGGAATTATCTAAAGATGTCAAAAATTACTCATTTAATAATGATATTTGTGAAGCAGGACCTATTAAATTTCCTAATAAAGCATATGGCGACTTAATG